GCTCTGGTAAGCGCTACGTGCTGCTGACCGGCCTCAACGACACTGGTAAGACGCTGATTTACTCCCAGCTCGTCTACAACCGGCACGTTGCCACTTTCACCTCCAGCCAGGACAATGAGGGCCAATTCAACACGCAGAAGGTAAGCAGTAACTGTCTAAGGGTTGCGCCCGTAAAAACAGTACGAAAGTTTTCCAACACCATGTAGATATCAGGGGGGAAATATGGAACGCAGCTCTGCGCCTTTTTTACCAGTTTGGTGATAAACTGACCGACTTTTCGGTTTTTTTGCAGAACTTCGTCACCCTAGTGGACCTGCCAGTCTTCCACAGCATTCGGCAGCAGTTTTTCGAAAAATACAAGGCTTCCTCCAAAGGAATCGTGTACGTAGTCGATTCGGTCACTTTGGCGCAAAATGTGCGCGACGCTGCCAATGTGCTCTACAACATCCTGATTGATCCGGCGGTGGTAAAGAACAGGCCGCAGCTGCTCATTCTGTGCAATAAACAGGACCAGACGTTCGCCAAAGGCTGCACGGTGATCAAATCGATGCTGGAAAAGGAGCTGTAGGAAAGGAAAGGAAAACTCTGGAAAACTGAGGAAACACTCACCAGCTACCCCCTGGACGTCCCAATAGCAGACGAAGTCCACTGACGCATCTGTGCCCCAGTGCCAAAGTTCTACAAAAGACACGGGGACCTCAGCAAGCATTTGAGACGCTACCATCTGTCCCGTCTGGTATTCCGGTGTCGGCACTGCAATGAGATCTTCCAAACGCTAAAAGGGTGCAAGGCACACCAAATTAGCTGCAGTGCCACGCCCAGCCTGGACTCGCCACCACCACCACCGTTGCCACCAGCAACCGAAGGAGCCATCCAGGTTAAGCGAAGCCGGATGCCCAAAAATACAAAGGTAGCTATACCAATAGCTCCACCCACCACTGCCTCAACATCGGCAACCCCACCACCAACCCGTCATACTCCATCAATGACTGGCCTACACAGGAACCGCGATCTGGACACGGCTGGCACACCACAAGCGACCTGCTTGCCGGCGAGGCAACGTAAAGCCACCAGAAGGCGGATAGCTCTAAATAGAACACCATCACCCCAAACTGAGCCAACAACATCGGAGAAAGAAACACCTGGACCACCACAAAAGCCCCAAACACCAGTCCCCACACCTGATGAGCCACCAGGACCACTGCCAATCCACCAAACAAATCTGGCACCAACCACACAGAACGACAGCCCCCCGGAAGCACAACCAACCACCAAACAACGCTTATGGATTGAAAAATTCAAACATGTGAAAGACACCACCGAGTTTGAAGACAATTTTGAGGAGCTCATGAAAGAGGTAAAACCAAGCGAGCGTCCTCAACATTCTCAACATCCAAGAAGGCAGGGCACGGCACAACAGAACAACCCTAACCAACCAAAAGGGAACAACTACAACGCCCAAGATGCCTCAAGAATCCAGAAGCTCTATCGCAAAAACCGCCAACGTGCTTTCCGGGAGGTTATTGATGATGACTCACCGTTCTGCCGCATCCCGAGCAACGACCTGCACGCTCACTTCACGCGGGTATTTAGCCTCGGAACGCAGTCGACACCAACAATGCCGACGCAAGCACAACTGCCGCCGGTACTCAACATAAGCGACCGTGACCCACTCGAAGCAGAGTTCACGCCTGCTGAGGTGTGGAAACGAATAATCCGCTGCAGCAACACTGCGCCCGGGCCCGACGGCGTGCGATACTCCAACTGGAGGAAGTTTGATGTGGGAGCCCAGATAATCGCAGCAGTCCTGAACTGTGCCAAGCGCCTAAAGTACACCCCAAAGGCATGGACAACCTCACTCACCATCCTAATCCACAAGAAGGGTAGTCGTGAGGATGTAACAAACTGGCGACCCATTTCGCTATCGAACACAATAGCCAAAATCCATACGTCGGTACTGGCTGAAAGGCTGGGCGCTTGGGCAACAAGAAATAGCAGACTAGGAGAAAGCCAGAAGGGGTTCCTGCAGATGGATGGATGCGCGGAGCACAACTTCGTCCTGCAATCCATAATCGCTGACGCAAGAAGGAACCGAAGACAGTGCTGCGTGGCTTGGCTTGATCTTGCTAACGCCTTCGGATCAATACCCCACGAGACGATCTTCCAGTCACTGGGATGGTCCGGCCTGAGCGACAACTCGATAGACGTTATCCGACTACTATACGAGAACAACACAACGTCGATCAGGAGCAGCACTGGTCCAACACCCGCCATCCACATCAAATCTGGAGTAAAGCAGGGATGCCCACTATCACCAATCATCTTCAACCTGGCAATTGAGCCAATTCTTCATGCCATCACAGCCTGTGGGGGCGGATACCGTTTGATGGGCAAGAAAATCAATTCGCTGGCATACGCTGACGACATGGCCATAATCGCTGAGAATCCATCTGATCTCCAGCGACTTCTGGACACAACCACAGAAATGGCCAACTGGGCAGGGTTATCATTCAACACAAAGAAATGCGCAACCCTCCACATCGACGGCCGGCGCAAGCAAGCCATTACAACCGCTTTTAACAT